AGTTCCCACGCTTGAGAAACACTACTCTAGACCTTTTCCTTCCGCCCTTCTGAATTACAGTAGTGGATACTTGGGGTTCCAGCTATCTAACTTGGGAACTCTTGAATCCTGCCTGCAATCTTTAGCATTTTTCCTGCAAGTTCTTGTCACTCCTGAAAATGTGCATAAAGAGTTGGAGGACCCAGTGAAGGGAATTGGTGACAATCCTCCAGTACGGTTGGATGCAGATAATGAAAAACCAAATTTAACCTTTTGTTACTTGCTTTGTTTTATGCATAATAAGAACTGTATTTTCAGGGCTACATTGTAAGCTGGGAAATCTTAGAATGAAGTTAGATATATCATCCAGATGGGTTGTAAAATCAATCCTCCAGGGAGATCCCAATGATACTCTTGCACAACCCTCCCCAAAGGCCAGCTTTGTAGTTATCCCTAGGACTATGCAAACTTAACTTTGAAATAATTATAACAGTAGAACAAATTAAAAATGAGATTGTAAATTCTCCTCCTCCTCCTCCTCCTCGAATCATGTTTATAAAAAAATTGAGATGTGAAGAACTGATGAGCTGAGATGAATAAGAACCAGTATGGAATGGGGCAGCTTAGAAACCTTAATAATCAATAAACAAAGCAAATAAATAAATAGTGTGTGTAAGAAACTTTATACTCATAGCAACTGTAGCAATAGTACACCTTTGGAAGCTTAAATCACATACGTATGTCGGTGTGTGGGCATATGGCTCTAGTCAACAAAAACGAAAACAAAATGTATTTGCCTAGCCGGAGCATTTTTCATCAGATGCTTCATCTCAGCTCAAGCAACAACAATAACAGTTACTTTTATGTCTTAAAATGTCCCTTTTGCTTGTATTTAGTCTATTTTGTGAGTGTCTCTAGATTGGTTTATGTTATTCATATTTAGATGGAACATTTCCATACAATGGTATGTGACACTACATTAACATGGAATATTACATGATACTTCATTCCTACACACAACACACACACACACACACACACACACACACATGCATTTCTTCACCAACAGATACTTTACCTCATACAGTGAGCTCATCATACTTAAATAATTTTTTCCTGTCAGCAATCCAAACATTGCCATCTTTGGTGAATGTCAATTTGTTGATATTATCCCCTTCTCACTGGTGTCAGAAGCAGGAAAAATATGACCAGAAATGGCAAAATGAATTTTGGGGCACTTACAACTTTAAAAAAATTATTTCTGATGGAAAGAACCAAAAATAAGGTTAGGAAAGGGGGAAAATGCTACTTGCATAGGTGTTTGTGCATGGAAGATGGTTACCCTCTCGAACTCCTCATGCTTTGTATCCTTCTTGTTTTAAAAAGATGTTGTGGGAATCATTCTAGCATTGCTGTTAACAACCTCTGAAACAGGGACGGATATTGCATAGGTTTCCCCACATTCTCAAACTCCAACTCCCAACAAGCCTAACTTTTATGGGCAAGGTTAAGAAGGTAGCACTTCAGTTCCCGGAGAGCTTCTCTCCAGAACTCCATGTCTGTCCTTCCCCTTTACAACCACTGAAATGCTACGGGGGCCCAAAGATTCCGGCCAAAGAGAATGACGTAACGTCCCTCCAGAAGGCCCTTGTCTTCGGACAGTCCTTAACTCACTGCACTTATGACTTATCTGGGATTGGTGCTTGAATGGCACAGATCTGTTTCTATGCCAGAAGAAAGAAGGAGGGTGACTGATTATGTGCCATCAAGGCATTGTCGACTCTTAATGACCACACAGATTTTCTCCATGATGATCTGTCCCTAACCCGTTCAGCAGTGGACTCATCACCACTGTAACTGAGTCTATCCGTCTTGCTGCTGGTCATCCTCTTCTTCTCTTTCTTTCCACCTTTCCTGGCATTACAGCCTTCTCCAGGGAGCTAGGTCTTCACATAATGTGTCCAAAGTAGGATAATTTGAGCCCGGTCACTTGTGCCTTGAGTGAAAATTCTGGGTTGATTTGTTTGATGATCCATTTGTGTGTTTTCCTGGCTGTCCACAGTATTCTCAGGAGTCCTCTCCAACATCAAAGTCCAAAAGCATCAATAATCTTTCCATCTTGCTTCTCAAAGAGGGAGAATGGCCCTTGTAAATTCTTCTGGATTTTGCAGATGGTTTTGATATCATCCTTCATAGTATGATTCTGAAGTGGGAACTGAGACAGTCCATTCCCATCCGGATAGCAGATTCCCAAAGAGGGGCAGCAGAATCAACATATGTTGAGATCTTGCAGGATTCTCTCCTTGCTATAGTACACTTAGGTAAGTGAGGTGATATGGACTCAAGGCTGTTGGGGGGCAGGAGTTAAAAAAAGTTAAGGAGGTGGCTGTGACTGTGTAATTAGAATTGTTGGGAGCTGGGTGGTATGCAAATTTAATAAAAAATAATAATTGAAGCTCCACCCCTTTTTAATAAAGGATAAAGGCTTTAACTGCATAGTTTAGCTACAGTTAACTTCTGCTCCCCCTGCAGACCCCATTATATGGAATTGTGATGGCGTTGGTTGGATTTATCTTGGCTCCTATATTTGTCATTTATCGTTTTTTAATCTGTTTTTTTTAATTCTCTGTTAGCCACCCAGAGTTGAGCGGCCATTTAAATTGAATAAATAAATAAGTGAATAAGGAAGCAAAGTGGGGTCACTAATGCAAATGACACCCAGTTCCAATTCTCCTTTTCTTCTGATTCAAGGGAAGAGGCAGAAGAAGTAAATTAGGATCAGAGGAGCTACACAGGAGATGATAAAACTGAAAACTAACCCAGAGAAGACACAGAATGTTTGTAGTGGGCTCTGTCTGCCTGGTTACGCTGCCCAGCATTCCACCTTAGTATTTTGGAAAGCAACTCACTGAAGAACTCGCCCAACTTTTCAGGGTCTGCTTGCAAACCATGATCTGTCAATTCCTTCTTTAGAACAGAGCATGCAAGAAGTTCAGTGTCTGATTATTTTTTCATCTGTGGAATGAGTGTAAGTAGATCACTACATTAAAAGAATGGGAGCTGAATGCACAGGCAGGACACGAGCAAGCTTGCTTTTCGAAGGGGATACGCAACACAAAAGGCTTGGGAAAAGGTGGGGGGGGGAGGCACCAATTTTACTCTTTAAATCTCCACAATGAAGAAAGTGGGTTGCATGTTTTGACCCAGTCCACTTGGCTCTGTATGTGTGTGTGTAATTATTGCAAAACGGGCGCTAGCAGACTATATGTGACCCCTGGAAATTATTTTTTTGCAGGCCTGATATAATCAACTGTACCCCTGGCATATGGGAATTCTCTTCCTTTGAAAAAGACCTCTGCATCTTATACTGTAGCACCTATAATGGGAGAAACTCCCCAGATAACCCCATAGGAAAGGAACTGGACCTGCCACCTGCAGGAAGTTGAGGATTCTTCCTATGGGCTTCATTGTCAGAGACCAGGAGAGAGGAAGAACACAGAATGGGAGCTAATAGCTCCAGGCAAATACTGAAATAGGTGAAACCTGGTTTCGGAATCATGAGTGATAGATTCACACTTCTTAGGAAAAAGGGTGCTGAGATTCTGATGAGAACGGTTGACTTACTATGGATGTTGTGAATCTATTATTTGATGTGCCAATGCTCTCTAAGAAAGAAGCCCAGTTCTTTATGCATTCCTTCAGATGGTGGACAGTCCATCCTGAAGATAACTACAACAGTTTGTTCTTCAGAAGAAGAACCAGAATCTGAAGGTTTATGGCGCAATAGGACTTGCTTATTTTTTCCCAATGTCCTTTGTTACTTTTCTCTAAATCAGGCCTACTGTGGGAATAGTTGTTGCTTCTTTCTGTCATCTTCTGAAGAAACACGTCTCTGGAGGAGCTTTGCGAAGCGACAGCCCTCACAGTCAAAGCGAAGCAAGGCAGCCGCGCTACTCAAAAACCTTGCTGGACACTTCCAAGGCTGGTACTGCTGGAGAAGGCCTTGCGTTGACATGAAGAACTCCCTTGAGGAGAACCCTGCAGCCTCCACGGTACGACATGTTTCAAGATTTCTTCCAGTGTTACTAAGCTGTGCCACAAGTCACATTTTGCTTGCTAATTTGGACTGAATTTTCTACAGTGGCCTGTAGGATTAAAGAAGAAAGTTGCACTGTCCCACCTTCTTTCCACAAAGCAATATTCCTAATTTCTTTTAACTCTATGGCTAAGGGTTTTGATTTTAGGTCAGAGGTTGTTTTATGCTAATGGATACTATCTTGCACATATTAAACTGGACAGCCAGTTTGGTACAGTGGTTAAGGTGCCCTCACAGGGTTGTTGTTGTAGGGAAAACAGGAGGTGGGAGTATTATGTACGCCACCATGAGGTGTACAAAATAAAGGCAGGTTATAAACCTAATAATCAATCAATAAAATGTGGTGATTGATGCTATTGATGCTATGTCGTCTTAAACAGGTCTAGTTGTGAGTGAGGAATGGAAAATGGCATGATATGGATATGGCACACATTAAATAACTACGTTGTGTAGGCAATATTAAGCTGTATTTATTTCTATACAAAAAGGCATAGTACTGAATAATCATGAATTCTACATTACCAGCCAGCAATCCTGTAATTCCATCCGAGCAAGTCAGGAATAACACGCAGTGTGTGCTGTACTTTGGATTAACTGCCTTGCATTTTGTGAATCTGGGTCTTTAGGAGTCTTGAGATGGCATTCCTTTCTACTCTGTTCCTCCAAACTTTCAAGAAATAAAAAATGAACAACACGACCCCTTCAGGTGAGCAGTCAAGGTGAAGAACGGGCCATTCTCTGGGGACAGAAGAGACCCTGAATCAGCTCCTGGAAAGAAGCGAGTGCTCTCCATTCCTGAAGAACACGGGAGAAAGCAGCAAAGGTCTCATTTCCACCCGTACAAGATGTGTCACAGAGGAGGAGGAGGAGGAGGAGGAGGAGGAGACAAGGCTAACTGCTCTACTAACTTTGGAGAGCCAGCAGGGGTACGGACAAGTTGCAGTCGAGCTGTTGGCGTCCACTGATTCCTTCACCCTGCAAATGAAAACGGACGCCAAGAGGAACAGCGTCTTCCTTCCTGCCAACCCTCCCCTGCGTATTGCATTCTACCTGTGACTCAGCCCCAGGGCTAGACAACTCAGGTGCTTTTGTTCATTCTCTCCTATCCTCGCTCTGCCTGGGCTGCGTTTCAAATAGCTGGCCTTTTGGGAGGGGGCTCAGAGGAGGGTCTCTGGCGAAAGGGGCGGGGGGCATTCTGTGGCGCCTCCAGAAGTTCTGCTCCGGATTGCAACAGACAATCCTGCTGCAATTGGGAGCGAAGCGGCGTGGATTTGGGT